ATGTACCTTGTTTGAAAAATTTTGTTGAAATGTTATATTCTACAACATTAGATATGTGTACTAAATCTAAGCATAGATTGGCATTATTTCCTCTTGTAACATGTTTGTTATGCGTTAGTCAAAAAACATTCTTTTTACAAAACTGGCATTATTTTTTGGCCATGTGTCTTTCTCAATTGAAGAATAGAGATCCTAAAATGTGCAGGGTTGCATTAGGTATGGGATATCATTTATGCAATAGAACTTTTACATGTATTATCTATTAATAAATAATGATATATTTCAGAGGCTTTATATCGATTACTTTGGGTATATATGATACGCGTTAAATGTGAAAGTAATTCAGCCACACAAAGCCGATTACAAAGTATAGTGAACTCTTTGTTTCCCAAAGGATCTAAGGCAGTAGTACCTAGGGATACACCTTTGAATATATTTGTAAAGATTATTCAATTCATTGCACAAGAAAGACTTGATTTTGCAATGAGGGAGATAGTATTTGATTTATTATCTGTGGGTAGACCGGTAAAAATTATTTTAACGCCCGAAAGAATGAGTATTGGATTACGAGCATTTTTAGTAGTGGCAGATAGTCTTCAACAAAAAGAAGGTGAACCACCTATGCCAAGAACTATGGGTGTATTACCCAGCGGAAATACAGTTCGTGTAAAAAAAACTTTTCTAAACAAGGTAAATAAAAAAAGGGAGTAATCTATTGTTATTATGATGTTTTATACAATTTGTGTTTGTTTGTAAATTTCAGATGTTAACAGAAGATACAGCTAGGAGTATTGGAATGTCCTCGTATTTTCCACACGTACGTAGAGTGTTTGTTGATATTTTACGTGCTTTAGATGTTCATTATGGTCGTCCATTGATGATGACAAGTACCCAAAATATGAATAAAGAACCAGATGAAATGATTACCGGTGAACGTAAGCCTAGAATAGATCTTTTTCGTACGTGCGTTGCTGCAGTGCCTCGTTTGATACCTGATGGAATGACTGGAGCAGAGCTAGTTGACTTATTATCACGTTTAACTGTACACATGGATGAAGAACTTCGTGGATTAGCATATCAAAGCTTACAGACTCTAGCATTGGATTTTCCTGACTGGAGACAAGATGTTGTTCTAGGATTTACACAATTTCTTGCCAGAGACGTTCAAGATACTTTTCCTCAACTTGTTGATAATGGTTTGAGAATGTTATTACAACTTCTTACAAGCTGGAAGAATGCACTTATTAGTCCTAATATAAGATTGAAAGAGCAAACAATGGATAATACAAGATCGAATATACGGCCGAATGTAGATACAACTATAAAAAGAAGTGAATCCGGACAAGTACGTATTAATATATTAATTAAGAAATAAATGCAATTTTATTAATATTATTTATTTGTAGAAAGTAGAACCAATATCGTGCGTCTTTCATCTGGTTGAAGGATTTGCATTGGTAATGCTTTGCAATTGTCGACTTTATCCTCGACGATTGGCTGTACATATACTTCGTGAATTAAAATTCTTATTAAAAATATTGGGTGAGAATGAAATAATCGTTTGTCTGGTATGATATGTATATATATATATATGGTCGATAAATGAATGAGAAAAAATAAGATTTTTCCAATTGTAGGAACTCCCGATGACGATCAACCTGTTATCGATGTGATAGACGCTTGTTGTCCAACTGTTTTAGAAAAATGTTATCATATGTTACCACCAGCAGAAAAAGCAGCTGCTGCTTCTACATTTAATATTGATCTTCAATGGATAGCTGATAGAAGTAGTTGTGTTTGGACAGCAGGTACTTGACCGATTAGAATTTTATTAAAATTTTATTTAATATCGATTTTAATGTTATATAAAATTGTAGGATTTCATGATGAAAACAGTACAAAGAGTTCGTCTTCTTTGAATTTAAATGGGGCTGATCCATGGGGGACCTGTCTATTTGCATTTTTGGAAAAGGACAGAGTACTTACTCAATGTTCCAATGCCGTTGCTCATTCTTGGCCTATTGTTTTTACAAGAATAAATTCTTTATTTTCGGTAGTCGATCCTACGTGAGTTGAATCTTTTTTTGTTATATGCTTTTATTAATTTTCAAAAATGACACATGTCGTTTCTATTTTAGACCTGTCAATGATAACAGAGCTTCGCTTTTACGAAGCTCAACTACAGTACGAAAGCCAGTAAACGAAAGAGATGTCTACATGCACGTTTGGAAAAATTATTTGACATTTGGATACAGAGTTGTACCACCTGTTCCAAGTCCTGTTGTTCGTTGTGCCAGTCCAGATCTCAGTCTCAGGTAAATTAATGCATATATTTTTGATTAAAATATTCTATAATTACTTTTTTATATCATATGATAATGTTGCATATACGTTTTTCGATGAAATGTTGGGGATGGATATATATAATGGTTAGGTTTTTAAAAATATAATTAAGTATAAGTGTATACGTAGATTTTTTATTCAATAATATAATACGATATACTTAGATGATTAATTTATATAAATTAATAATAATAATATTCTCAGATTTAACTGTACGGTTCTTACGGTATACGGTTGTTTACAACGTTGCTTTATGTGTAGTTATTAAAGGGTGAAGAGATATAAATTTTAACTATTATTAATTGGTATCAATTGGTGTTGGATCATGTCTGCTTATGTCTGTCGTGAAATGGAAAATTTCTTTCTTAATTCTATCTTCTGTATATTTATTTATATTTCTCTTATTAAGATTATCTCACATTGTTGATTAGTTATATTACTTCTTCTGGCACGTATATCAATCCTAATCTCTTTTATGTCTTATGCAATGCAAAAACTTCAAGAGGTATTTGTTTTGAAACGTAACATGCTAATGATAACATGCACGTTCTCTGAAATCCTGTCAAAGCACCAGATAGCAAAATTGACTTATTAAACTTTCGTCTAAACTAGCACCAATTTGTACCAATGTGCGCTTTGCATTCGGGAGCGGGGGGTTTAAATTTTTTGCATATATACTCTTATATGCGCACATTGCTTTCTTTTTCTGCAACGATACACTTTGCATGTTATCTGTTATTGTTTCATACATGTATGTACACATCTGGGACTTAGAATAGTAGTTTCTGAGCAGTAAATAACATTTGATACAAGGAGCATTGGTGGTACACTGTATTGCATACTCTAGTGGTCAGCATACGGTGGAGTTTGGTGTGTTGTGCATGAGTAAGGAGTTGAGTCAGAGCCTGGAGAACCTCGGTGGGGCGCAGACCCTGCCGGGCCGGTTCTCAGTTCCGTCCATTTCCGGCATCTACATCAGGCATAAGCGGACCAGGTGAGCCTAATTTGAATCAGTTGTAAACGACCATGTTTAGATGTCACTCAGAATTAAACGGTCATTGGTAATTTCCACCACATTTTACCGGAATTTTTACTTATAAGGCACAATGTCCATATGCTTTATAAGAGTTTCAGCTTCAAGCAGGTTCCTTCTTAGTCCAGTCACTATACTTTCTCGCGACATAAGCACTGTCCATGTCTTGTCTGATGACCGTTCCCCATCGTTAATCGCGTTAAATCCAATTCGTTTGTTCATGTCATTGATGCATTGTATATATGTACAAAAGATAAATGATAAATTGATTTAGCGAAGAACTATAGTAAGATCATTTTCGTAGCTCTTCACCGGATAGTCTTTCCGCCGAAAGAGGTGATAACAAATCACCTGGAACAAATGCGAGCCCCGCGGCTCTGTACAAATTAACAGTACCTCTTTTGCGATGCGAGGCAATTGATGTTAGAGATGCTGCTGTACAAGCTATCGGTAAAGTAAATGCCGATGCTTTAAAGTGAGTATATTTTTTTATTAATTTCGCGTTTATATAAAAAGTTTCGAGTATCAATTTTTTACTATCTATATAGAGACTTGATGGAAGAATTAGTTCCCTATATACGTGAAGCTGTTGATCGCAAACAAGAAAATATGAGACGTAGAAGACGAAGAGATGCACTTAGATTGCAGTTAGTTCGAGTTTTGGAATTGATTGCTGAATATGGAACATTTGGAATCTGGTTTGTTAGGAAATATTTACTCTCTCTCTCTCTTAGATATAAAATTCAAAGAATCTCTCTATATTGATATCTTAAAAATTCTTTTAGTCCCGCCGTTTTAGATCGCGAAACACAATCTCTCCATCCAACATTTGTTGAGTATATAGATGGAGCGCGTATTTACTTAGAAAATGAAACCGATAAAGAAGCTCCAGCAGTGAGAGATATTAAATTACACTTTTGTAATTTTATAAGAAAGATGATAGAAAGTTTTTCGTGTGAGTAATATAGCTGATTTGTTGAGCACACCGAAAAGTTAAACGTTTATAGAAAGTCTTGTTTTCTGTTTTTCCTTTTTTCTTTTTTTTTTATTTTCTATTTTTTTTTTTTTTTTAGTGGAAACGTGTCACAGTTTATTGAAGAGGGATTTAAGACGGAATTTATTTATGCTCTTTGCTAGTTGGGCTGGACCTTATGGTAGACCTCTCACAAGTGTATCGTCTTTACACGAAGAAGAAAAGACATGTACAGAATTACAACTTTCAGCATTACAAGCTATGAGTGGTTTATTATGTTGCGGACCGTGTTTCAATCCGCAGTCACTTTCCGAGGAGGGTGCGATATTATATCAATGGTTAGATTTATTATTAGCTAGTAAGGATGAGAAGGTAGGTTTCAAGGCGATATTAAAGAATTTAAGGTCCTTAGATTTTTGGTTACTTATTTCTATATGTTACTAATGTACTTTAGATTTATGCTTTGGCTCGTGAAACAGTTGTTCTATTATTGGAAGGAAATCCTGATATTGGTGCACTTCTTGATTGGGTAGTCGATAGATGTTATACAGGCGCTCCGCACGTGGCCGATGGTTGTTTCCTCGCATTAGCAACAATATTTAGTGCAAGGTTTGTTTTATTACATATATTACAAATTAAAGATATCAACGATTCATGAAATATAGATTTTTATATAATTACTAAAAAGTTGAGTATATAATACAATATATACATATATTTTATAAATAGAATAATATTTATTAATCATTACTTTTGCAAGAAATGTATAGAAGACTTTTCAAACGATAAATAAGTTTAAATAGTAATTATATTAGGATAGAAGTCCCTGTTATAAATTATGTGAAAGCATAGGCTTAAGCAGATCGTATCGTGTGTTAATAGGGAATATCCTTGTGATCATTATACAAGTATCATTAACGTAACTTTAATGAATACTGGTTGTCCTCGTGCACCGGTTCACGACGAGGCTCTTCAACTCCTTCAGCTATTAGATCAAAGATTCTTTGGAAACGTGGGACCATTGCCAGCCACAGAACCCGAAACTGGTACGTACATTTTTCTTCTTTCTTTTCTTAATTATATTTTTCACTCCTTATCCTTTTCCATGTCTTCTTTAAATTCTTTAGAAAATATTTGCAATTCGTGATTGTTTTGCCACGATTTAGTAAATATAGGTGCTTTTTGACGGCTCGTTAAAGTATTATTGCGAGCTAATTCTGAAACTGATGATTATTTATTTATTAGCATTTTTATTAAAGATGCAATTAGTATTAGACTTTATTTATTAATATCGAACATTTTTTATTTTAATTATTTATATGCATTTTTTTAATTTACCAATATTCCCATGATTTGATATGCGTCCGGCAGCGTCATTTCTTCCGTGGGAACGCCGTAAAAACATACGAATCATTGCATTGCGAAAATTTTGTCCGGTGGTACAATAAAGAATGAAATTTATTCCAAAATTGGTGTTGAAAAACAAATTGCACACCTGTTGCGCCAACTCTATCGATCGCGGTGGATTGTTGTCCGCCTGAAAATCACGTACATTATCAGTGTTAATCGTTGTTATGAAATTACACGTTCTTATCACGATGCTCATATCAGTAATAATATTATTCAAAAAGAGTAACAATGTTAACTAAGTATGTGCATATATATTAAAAACAAACATATTCGTAATATAATGTCTTAGAATTTTTACAAGTTTCTCCCAGATATTTCATTTAGAGTATCTGTCGAGAAAATATGAATTCTATTCGATGAAAATCAATGGAAAAGTACTTCAGATCTTTTCAACAAAATATATATATATATATACATATATATATATATATATATATATATATATATATATATATATGTATATATATAATATATTACAATATATGTACCTATATTATGAAACTTATTGTTACGAACGAAAAAATAGAAAATGATATCAAGTGGAAAAATGAATCCATGGGTGAATCTCGTGCAATACATATACAGAAAAAGAAGAAATCGCAATTCAATAGAAATACGTACGTATAGAAAGGCATGTACTCTGATAGCGTAGGCCGGCAGATTGAGACAGAGAAAAACTGTGGATACGATGAGAAGCATTTTAGTGATTTTACTTTGAGCGAAGGTATTTCGAGGACTTTGAGAACAGGACATTTGATCCTGCGAAGCCCTTGATTCGGTGGTCAGTATTCTCCTTACTTTGGCGAGTCTATAGATAGCACGTGCGATGAGTATATTCAATACGACGATTACGGTAAAAGGTACAACGAAAGTTAATATCGCATCGATCGAATTGAAAATAGTCGCCGAGGACTCCCAACCCTCAGCGACAAGACATTCCGTCACATTTTTTGTATTTGATATTTTTAAACGAGGACTCGAAAACCATAAAGTTGGACTACACGTCATAATACCGAGAACTGTCAATCCGATAACTACGGTTTTTGCTCTAGCCACTGTACACATGGATTGACGATGAAAAGGATATTGAACAGCGACGAATCTTTCGACGGTGAAGGCTACCACAAACCAAACACTCAAAAAACTACAAAGTGTTGTTAGGTAGATGAAGAATTGACAGAATCCTTGCTCGTTAAAAATACCAATATTCACCATATTCAACCATACCACAAAAACTGATATTAAAAATCCAGTGTCGCTTATAGCCAATGCTCCTAAATATATACTTGATGAGGATCGTCGTAACTTTGTACCGAAGAATACACATACAGATAGACAGTTTCCAAGAGAACCCAAATATACTAATATCGGAGTATAATACAGTTGTATCCCTCTTAGGATCGCCTCGGTCAGATCGGTTACTTCACCCTCTTCCTTTGTCTCTGTCATTATTTCTTTTTGAATAACTTTAAGAAATCTTTTGTCCTGGAACAAATATCCAAATTGATTTGACGATGATCGATCTTTCAAAAAGTTTTTTCTGAATGTTCATTGCTCGTAACACTCGATTGATCAATATTACATATTTTCTTCCCATTTTGATAATTCTAATATATTCTTCTTGGTTTTATTGTCTTTATAAATAAAAGAATAAAGAAAATTAAATTTCAATTTATAAATTTTTCTATACTCAGAATTATCGGAAATTTTACAAATTCTATCTATAAATTCATCTTTTTATAAGTTATAGCGATATGACAAAAAAGAGAATATATCGATCTATTTAAAAAAAAGGATCGCAGAAAACATTTCCTTTAACATTCCGAGATAAAAATTTTCTCTAGAAGAATTTATCGTCAATCAAAATATTGTCCCTTTTGAATAAAACAATTTCTTTTTTAACATTCTTCTATGTAATCCAAGACAACGAAGATATTTAAGTTTCTCTGAGGACACTATGTATTTCTTAGCACATAATATCACTTTTTAGTAACAGATGACACGGTTTAAATCGATTTTAAGCTTATCGACGATCAAACTTTTATAGCATAACGTTAAAAATCAAAGTAAACACTAGACTTTGATAGATGTTCTTTTGGATTTCTTTCTTTTTTCTTCACACTCTTTTTCATATAGTACGTTAGTGTATTTCCCAGTAGATAGTAAAACACTCATTGTCGGTTTAAAGTATAGACAAACTAGAAAGCGTTCTGGAACGTATCCAAGTTCTTTTAGACGCCGATGACGAGAGTACGACTTTACTTCGGCCCTTTCAAATATTGGCAACGTTTCACCCACGTAAAGTTCGATTTATTCCACCATGAGATATATAAGGAGTGGTATTTTTAATGATATTTATCAAGGCGTATCTCTCGTCGATGTTCCTTTTTCTTCTTTTCTTTTCTTTTTTTTTTTTTTTTTATTATTATAAAAAATTTTAAGATCTAAAAAGATTCACAAGAAGTTCCAAATCCTTTTCGGATAAAAATAGAAGAAAATATTCGAAAATTAGTACTAACTCGATAGAAGATAAAATTGTGAGGCCGCAATTTGTTCTCACACTTTTCACGTCCGTCAGATAAAACATTCATTATCGAAAACTATTGTTTGTTGAAGTTTTCATATTAATATTAATTTTACTACACTTTTCATTTAAAGAATAATTCTTTCTTTGTTAAAACCAACACACGCGACACGTGGAATCGTCGAAACGAAATAGAAAATCTTTTAATAAAAATTTTTTTTTTTTAAATCGTTTAATTCCGTTAGATCGCAAAAATTATATGATTCTATATATATGATTATATATATATATATTCTATATATATGATTATATATATACATATATTCTATATATATATATGACACTATCCGGCGTTTTTTATGATAATAATCAAGGTAACTCGATGTTAATGAGAACGCGAATTTAACGAAAGGATTTTTTCCTTTGATCTATCCTAACAAAGGTCTTTTATAAACGGTGAAACTTTTAACAGGACGGCGCTCCATCTATTTCTGCTACGCGTCGCTACGATTCATTCTTGATAAAGCCCGGTGCATCCAACATTCTGGCTTCTGCGCATCGTTGCGCCGGGACAAATTTCCCCTTCATTCCTCGATCTTCAAGAGTCTAAGCCATCTCTGAACTTTTTTTACTTTACGAATTTGTTAACCATTTCGTCTACCATCGATTAGTTTTAATAATATTTTTTAATAATATGCAACACGCATGTAACAAGTTATTTTAAAATATTATTAAAATTTCCTTTTTATACAATTCATTTATTTACTATAATTTTATTTAATCAAAGAATATCATAACAAAGTGTTCCTTCTTAAGGATAAGAAATGTATAGGAAACACAGACAAAGGTATTTTATGTAACATTTATATTATATAATTTTATGATTTAACAAGAAATTGCATAATTCATTGGTAATTTATAATTTATTTGTTTTCAGATAATTAAATAATAAAATATTCCTTTTACGATTAATAATGTTTGATTAATATTATTCGAGAATATTTTTTATTCTCTTAAAATCTTTTATTTCATGTGAAAGATCTTCTTATGTACTTTTGTTTTACGAATTATAATATTAACTTCTTTGGAATGTACTTTGGTATTATATATTATGCAAGGATATTATTTTAATTTTTCAACAAATATTATTATCATCCATTTATGAGATAGATTTTAATGAATTATTTTTTCTTTATGAAAGTATAACTCTCCTTTATATTTTTCGTCAAAATTTTAATTCATACTGATTTTATTATATTTATGTAATAATAATATAACGAATTTTATTTTCAAATATTGAAATTGTAATTCAATATTTTTAGATTACACATAACATTATTAATAATGAATTTTTATTACGTGTTACGTACTATTGTACTTGAAAATTCGAGTATAATCTTTTAAAATGTGATAAGAATTTTTATCACGTTATGCGTTCCATATTATTTAACAAGTTTGAATATATAGAATTATAAGACGTGATAAGTATTTGATTGTTTCGTTTTATAGGTCAGGAGGATTTAGCTGCAAGCTCGACTGCTACTGCTTCAGGAGCAGTGCAACAATCGAATCCCACGGCAGGTGTATCTTCAAGTGGCACTATTCGAGGTGGTACCCTCGATGTTTTACTTTCAACTACTTATTGTCGTAGTCAAATGTATCTATCACGTCAGCTGGCCCAATTGCATCCAGAATTGACGATGCCTATGTTCAGCGGTGAGTAATCTTGCGATATAAAGATTGAAAGAAAAAAAAAAAGAAAAGAAAAATAACTTATCTTCTTAACATGAAACTTCAATCATTTATCTGTCAAAATTTTCCCTTCCTTTTTTTCTTAGAAGTTTTGCGTAAAAGTTGATAAACTTGTTAACTCGAAATGATTCGAAATCTTGTCATAAGCACGCGTTATCAAAGAGTAATAAATATTCTGTTAACTATGTATCTACAGCAATAACAGATGTATCGGCATCATTTAATTATCAGTTAGTGATATATGTCGAGCTATCAAAAGACAGCTCGAATGATTCTCTGCATCGATGATTATTCATTGCTAAAGTTAAATGAAACTCGCTTTTTGAAAAGTTTTGAAACTTTGTCATATACATAGAAAATTTTATAAAAACTCTTCGACGAAATTTAAAAATGTCCATATTATCATGGAACTTGATCAAATATTACAAATTAATGACGTTAAGGAACTATAAGAAATACTATGACGTAGGAAGAGTCATTATGTAGTTCCGGTTTCAGTTGTATTTATAGTGTATTTTCCGTTTCAGTTTCATTATACATACACCTAGCTCGTTATAATTATATTTGAAATTTTAGCTATATTTGTAGTATAACTAAAATAAGTTTTCGACGGGTGACATTTTCTAAGCCGTTTTACTTGTTTTACATAATATTTGTTTGGAATGCGTAATAACGCAAAATATTATTCGGTCTTATAATTCCTCTGAATATCGTATCAAGTATCCGTTAACTTGGTATCATGCTACGCTTTATTATATGTAAGTCCAAAGTGTCATGCACTTTGTTAAGGGGTGAAGGTTGGGAAATACATTCTCAATCTTTTCTAAGAATTATAACCGCGTTGCGAATTTTCTATCATGGGTAGAACAATTGAAAGTGTTCTGTTTAGAATTATTTTAATTAGTATTGAAAGAAAAATGTGAAATTGGTGGAATATCATTGATTTCAATCATGCAGCATTCTTTGTAGAAACGAGCCGGCATATATGTTCTTTTTTTTTTGTTTCTTTTTTAAAGAATATCATATTATCTTTAAGGCTATCGTTTTTTTATATCTTTCTTTGTAATTAAATTTCTATTTCATTTATTTTTTTAGTCTTCTTGAATACAAATTTATTTGGAAACATTGATCATATTTGATCTTTGGATTCGTACGACAATGTACATCCATTTTTGATTAAAAATCGATAGGGTATTTCTCATTCTTATATTCTCTCTCTCTTTCTCTCTCTCTCTCTCTCTCTCTCTCTCTCTTTCTCTCTCTCTCTTTCTCTCTTTCTCTTTTTCGATCAAAAGAAATTAGATTATTTGCTCCCCACAGAGGTATTACGAGTCTACGACCCTTTTGTTCAATTCTAAGAATACCGATCTGCGATGTATTTGTACTTGCGATAGATTTTTCTCTTTACCTTTCTGTGTGTTCTCACCACCAAGTCAAGTTCCAACTTAAACGTATCATTCCCATCATCGTATGTCAATTTCAACCTGTCCCATTCTAATCATCTCTTCCGAGACGCGCCAAGCTATTGTTAAATTGTTTGCATTCTCGTCATAATTGTCGTTCTAAAATACCTTTAATGTCGGAACAAAACAATCGAAATTATTCTCTTGATATATATTCATATCTGTTAATTTATTCGTAATTCATTCGTTTACAACCAAAAATATGTTATACTGATTGGTATCGATAGAATGTAGATTAGGATTAATAATTTATATGTATTGAAAGTAGAAGCCTTTTTTTATTAAGGTCTATATTCAACGTCAAATTTGTTCAACTTTAATAGAAATTTTCATTTAAAATTATCCGGAAATCGTAAATTATGAATATTTAATGATATAACCTACCACGTTTTTCATTGATATGAAATTGATAGATGTATTAAATGGAGGATAAAATAAATATGCGACGTTCAAGTCAATATCATTGTAACATCCTCTATGACGATACGAAATTGCGTTATCTTTGAACGTGGAAATGAAGTAATTAAATTCAGTCCCGGTTATGATTGTATTAATAATGCAGCTGTAAATTCAGAATGAAAAAGAAAACTACGGATGATATATGTATGTATGTATGCAAATAAAATTCGTAGGGGACTGATTCGGAAGATTAATTAATTAAATGGATACAATAAGAGAGATTGTATAGATATGATAAGTAATTGAGAATTTCAATTTTATATATTCGATAATCATTCTCGTCTATTAATTTATCCTCGAACAACGAGTCTTATTATGTTTTACATTCATTTAGATTTTTTATGATATTGATAATCGAAAATTCACGATAACGAGTTTAACAAATTGAATCGTATGTACGATATGCGTGTCCTCGAAACAATATGTACAGAATAACTTTATTATTTATTTTCTTCGATCTATGGGAACGTTAATATGAAATTACTATTTGTTTCAGAGATCACGCACAGATTTCAAACAGCACGCCGTGAAGTTCGACAACTGTTGCTTCAGTATTTACTACCGTGGCTACATAACATGGAATTAGTCGATCCCAACGTACCACCCCCATCAAATCCTTTAAGTTATTATCAGGTAAAACAATATTGCTTTTAAGCACGCATAATTCTCTTTAACATTCGTGAGGATTTCATTCTGATCATAATCGAATCAAAGCCATGTAATCCCAAAGAATTCTTGGAAATTATTTTCGAAAGTGACGACGAATATAATTTACGAAACTATACATAATTAAATTCCTGTTCCCAAGAACGTATCACTATCTAAATAGTCTTTCAGCAACTTGTTAAATGAGGTATGCCGATCATTTTGAAAATTTATGCATTTCTGCGAAAATTCTGAGCGGTTTTCATTTATCGAAATGGGGGTTGTAATGGATTAATATCGAGATAAGATGAATTTATTGACCATATCTCGAAGTGTGTAAAAGTATAGGATATAGTGAAACGCATGTTAGTCGATTATAGCATTGATAAGTAGGAATAGTATTAAAAAAAAATAATTTTGTAAAGTATTATTAAAAATAATCCATTGGAGGCGCCGGGTATCGATCCCGGTACCTCTCGCATGCTAAGCGAGCGCTCTACCATCTGAGCTACGCCCCCAGTGATATACATTTCTTTGAGGACTATTATGATCGACGAATGTGATCTACTTTTGGTGAAAGGTGTAAATGACCAAAAAAAATGTTAACAACAAGAAAAAAAACATAGTATGAAAAAAGATACTTGGAGGCGCCGGGTATCGATCCCGGTACCTCTCGCATGCTAAGCGAGCGCTCTACCATCTGAGCTACGCCCCCTTGTATTGTATATTTTCATAAATATTTTCTTCTCTTCAAAGCAACCCCTTACTAGAATAAATTTTATATCTTCAATTCGTAGTAGATATATTTTTCATTTCAATAATGTAATCTTGCCGTTATTTATTTGCTTAAATATCGCCGTTAATCATAAGCAAATAAAAATCTCATTTTATTTTATAAAATGTATTTTTGTGTGATTTAGGAGTTGTTTGACTTAGCATGCTACTATATCCTTGA